GCAGTCATAGTTTCTTCTTGAACATGACTGTTTAAGATGAGGGTATAGTGGAGACTTTTAAAATCAAGCAAAGGGGAGTGATTTGTAAGGAGTATGACTTAGTGCTTTGTTATGTACATAAGTGATAATAGCAACCATTTTGGCAAGTATCAAGAATAGAAGTAAGTGTCATAGTATCTTGAGATATTGCTTATTTGTGTTTAAATTTCTCGTTTATTTAGTTTAAAAATAGTTAAGAGTAGTTTTTCTGTGAGGACTTGCAAATTCCTTATATTTTTCTTTAAAATTTCCTTTTATTTGGAAATTATTTGGAACTTAGTACTTTATAATGGCCCTACTACCCAATCACCCCACAATAAGTGTAAATGAATATAGAAGTAAGGGTTTCGTTGTTCGTTTTCAAGTTAGAGCGAATTAGGGTTTTCACGTTTTTCCGTAATGTGACTATTCAGTATGGAGTGAGGATCAAATTTGGTAGGTAAGAGTGACTTTTGGATGAGGAAATATTATATGATTAGAAGTGATAATAATAAGTTAGTGATTAGAAGTTAAAAACCCTAGTATACGCGATTTAAGAAAAATCGGCTCAAACCGATAGGTATCGATCACTACCGATTGAACACACCACTTGATTATCACTTCCCTACATGTCCTTGATATTGTTGCAAAATATCTCCCTTATCCTCAGCCCTTATAGCCGAAATATTTGACCCAAAATGCAAGGAAAAGAAAACAAAATTTTAGTTGGTTTTGGTGGTGACAAGTGTTGGCCACCTATGGTTCCTTGACCAAGCCAATGTCTTACCTTCTTATCTTTCATTTGAGTTCATTCTTCACCATTTTTTTTTGTTTTGGCTGAGAGCAAGGAGAGACAAAAGAGTGAAGAGAGTTTTCAATTTTCAACCTTGAATCCAACCTTTTGAGTGCAAACAAGAAAAACTAAACCGATTAATCACTAGTTTGGAAGCTTGGGAAGTTTGAGGAAAAAAAAATTTCAAGGAGAAGTGGAGGATCCTTCTTGCAAGCTCTTGTATTGAGGTATAATGGCTGATCAACCTTTCTTTCTCCATTAATCATGATTAAGTTGGGTATTAAGGTTAGAATTGTGCTTGTGATGCTTGTTTCAAATGGTTTTGATGATTGGAGTGATGAATTTTGAGTTAGGATTTTGATTGATTCACTTATATTTCTTGTGGGTTAGGTGTTATATGATGTATATATATGGTATATAATCTTATAAAGGAGAAAGTAGTGGTAGTTGTAAGGTAAAAATGCGACTTATAGTTTGAATATAGCAAAATTCCAGATTTCTGGAAATTGTAGCTTCAGTTCTGCCTGATTCTAGTTCACTATGTTAAAGGCCGAATTAGGCTTAGGCTAAAATATGAAAGTTATAGAGAATAATGTTTTATAATTGCCTACAAAATTTCAGCTCAATCGGAGTAACGTAGCCTATGAAAAGACCTAAATATCCTGACTGCCTAGGTGAATCCAGCGATCAGTTTTGAATATTTCACCAATCTAGTCGTGTCTTTTTACCATGATATGTACTGAACTAATATTTAGCCAAAACATGAAAGTTGTAGTATTATGTCTTAGCTTTCTAACGCCACTGAAAACGCCTTAATTGGATTTTGGTAGCCTGAGTTATTGTCATTTACACATAATGTGGTTAACTGACCTGTTTGTGAGATTCTGGTTCTGTAATTTAAAATTTTGACCTAGATACACTACGAACTGGACTAAGTGATCTTCATCAAAGTTGTAACTCTCTGTCTTAGCTTCGAAACGGTATAAATTGCACCTCAATCCGATAAGCGTAGTCTCGATTGTGTCCATTACGCAAAATAACATCAAATCTATCTTTTGTTTCTTGACGCAAACTTCATTTCCGCACATGTTCCTAGCTTGATTTTGTACTTGTATGACTTTGAGCCTATGGAATGGCTACTGAAATGAGATGATTTTGTGTGTGACTTTGGGATTGATTGAGGAAAACAATGAAGTCATAAATGACTGGAAAATAGGTAAATACATAGGGCGTGCTGTCCAAATTTACGTTCGAGGGCTAAACAGCTATACTTGCGACTCGAGTAAGGCTTGAGAGCGAATATCACATGAACCATCTAGGATATTTGCATCTTCTTTTATCGAGGTATATAAGTGAGAATTTAGCCGAAACTTGTACCCTTGGAAAAATGAACTTAACGACTAATAGAAATACGTTTTCTTTATCACTTTGACTCAAATGGAGATTTTAAAGTTTTACGAGTGAGTATAAGTTTTACAAATATTTTACTTATGTCTTTTGGTTTAAATGTACTTTTTTCACTGCCAAAATCATATTTATACTTTGTACTAGTACGTATTCGAATTTTCTTTGAATCACTTAAATCTTTGATAGTTGAAGTATAATGTATTCTTTTAATTATATTAGAGTTCATCGGTAACTGATGGTATTATCTGGAAGGATATTTTGGATATTATTTTGCGTAAATAAGTGAGTGTTCCTTGTTTGTTATATTTTCATTGACTATATGGCTTGTTCTTGACTATATGATTACATGTTCCATGTTATCAATGACTGTTAAAACGAATTTTACTAGGTGAGTGTATACTTTATCGCACTCAACCTAAATAAATGTGAAATTTTCAATGATTAAATGCTAGTTGCGCATGAATGTAAGCCGTTTGGCTGAACTGGGCCCTTGCCCTTTGTTACTTGTCGACTCGAGCCAGAAGCGGATTCGGTCGAGCGATTTGGTGACCTTGAGTGAAAGTTTGGTATACTCGAGTATTACCTTGTAGTCTGGTGGAGCCTGGCCAACGTCTAGGAGGGGTGAATGAAATGAATGAACGAATGTCAATGCAAATGAGGGGTTTTACTTACAAAAATACATTTTCAAATGATTGGAGAAATAAGGGGATGAAAGGAGAATGAATGAACGAATGAATGAATGGCTCCTTGTGAGCACGTATCCTTTTAATGAATATGTTATTAACACTTTCTATTGTAAATGTTTCTTGAGTTATTGGTTATCTATGGTTAATGCATTGGCTTTATTGTTTGATTATGTGTTTGGAACCTCACTGAGCTTATAGCTCATCCCTTTAGTTTTGTTTTCCTTAACAGGGGACGCGAGCAAGGACGAGAGCTCTGTATAGACTAGTTTAGTCTAGTTCTTTTGATTCTTTTGTAATAGTTTTCGCCCTAACACTTGGCAAGGGTTGGATGTATGAGGAATTGGGAACCTTTGTATATTTGAATTTTGTACTTCCTTTGGAGATAGGAATGAATATAAGTTTATGTTTTCAGTTTGGGGTCGGTATTCGTTTGTTTTGTAAATTTTATCTTCAATTCCTTGAGGTGAATGACTGAGCCCTGGTGAGAGTTGGATAGGCGGTCCGCCGAAACCTTTGGTTCGCCTTAGGGGGAAGTGGAGCTGTCACATTTTCATGGATTATTTGGAAGCAAAAGAACTTAAGAGTTATATAGTTAGAGTTTCAATTTGTGATTCGCTACTCAATTATATACTATGATTTGTCTGGCAGGTTGTTATTTGAGATTAAGTGATTCAATGATATGAAAAATTTGGAAGATATACATGAAGAAATAGAGGTTCTTCGAAAAAAGGTAGAGTTCCAAAAGAAATTGGCTAAAAACTAGGAAGGACAATGGAAACAAGAGTATACGGAGAAAATGGAGTTACTGAGCAAGAATATGAAAATAAAAAATATAATATATACGAAGGGATACTAGAGGAGTTGCAAAATAAGTTCGACTTGGTGCATTCTGCTATTCGAGTTGTATCTCAAGACATTTTCAGCAACCAAATTAAAAGTGGTAAAGGAAGCTTCCACATTATCAAAGGGAAATGCAAAAATATTAATGGAGATAAACATGCCATGAAGGAAAGAAAGAATGGATATTTTAAGAAGAAATTTGTAACCGTTAAGTGTGAAATTTATGACAAAATCTCATACTAGAATATGTGAGTTGAAAATTAGTGCCTTGTAGATGCTGCAACTTTGGACGTCAAGTGAGAGACTGCCCGAAATAAATGACTTAAGCTGTGGAAAATCTGTTATTTTAGTCGAAGTTAGCCCTTCATGATGTTTTATCTGAAAACGTTATATTTGTTGGCCTATATATAGCGAAAGTTTTATGTAGTAAGTTGGATTCCAGTTATAAATCTTGAACTTGAAATCTGATATTTGCATTAGTAATATGAAATGCCTATGTTCGATTGACATTAAATTCCTATCCATAAGTCAATTGCTGCAATTTAGTTTCGGATTTAGGAGAATTATTTATTTGTGATTAGTAAGGAAGAAATTTTGATGAGAAAGGGTAATATGTGTATAGTTTGGATAAGTCGGAGGAAATCCTGTAGAAGAGAGAACTTGAGTTTATTTTGCGAGCAAAGGGTGAGAATTTTGAGCACGAAATTCTTTTAAGGGGGAAAGAATGAGAAGATTCGAAAATTATTTTATATTTTCTCTTATTTTTGAAAAAAAATTAATTTATATTTTCTTTTATCTTAATTTACTGCCTTAATTTCATGGTGACTTTAATGGTTGAGTCAAGATTTCTATCTTTTCCCTTTTATAATTTGGTGCATGTTAAATTTCGTAGTGCATTAAACTGGTGTGACTGACTAGTGAGATGTAACAAATTTGGTGGACGAGAATGGATGTGGTATTAGAGAAATTATGTGATTAGAAGTGCTAAAAGTAAATTAGAGAAACACAAGATAGATTGGTTGTTAGAGACACGAGAGAGACAAAGAGATAGATTTGAGTTACTTTCTTGACAAGTGGCAATCATCCATCTAACTTTGGATCAAGGCTTTGACTAAAACTAGTCAAATATTTATTTTGGATTAAGCTTCTATTTCACCAAAAAAACCTTTCTTTTCTTCACCCATTTAGCTGAAATTATAGAGAGAAAAGAGAGAAAGAAACCTTCAAATTTTACCTCGAAATCTTGCTTGATTTTGTGGAAAAAAGACTTGTTGGTAATAGGGAGAATTACAAGCATTTATTGGAATACATGCATCATAAAATCACAAAGCTATAGCCATGTCAGTATCATGCCATCTCTCTTTACTTTGCATACAAGACTTGATACTCGGTTGAGAATGATCAAGAGATTTACCTGCCATATAAGATTCAATGCCATGTGTTTTTTTTCCCCTTATTCCCACTCACATTAGTTTGAGTTGCCTTTATTTTTCGTTAAAGAATTTCTTGAACATCATCAGCTTCAAATCCTACTACACTTCGGCCAAATGGATTTCCAATTTCAAATATTCTTTTTTTCTCTTTTGCTTTTTGAACATTTTCATTCAATGAATCTTCCATTATCTGTTGAACATCATTTGGCACATTTTGCATGGAGCAACATTACCCTTAACTTTTGCAAGATGATGTTTCATTCGATTAATACCTCCCCCTCTAAAAGTACCATTGCACTATTGACATATCAAAATTTTTCTACCTTGCGAATCTTGTCCTTCTATAACATGTCTCCAAGTCATATCAGTTTTTTGTCTATAATTTTCAGAACTTGACTTTGATGCCGATCCTTCATTTGTTGGTGTGGATTGTGAATCAGTACCTTCCATTGTCCTTCATTAGAAAGAACATTGAAAATATTAAATAATTTTAAAAACCCCTATAAATAAAAATCTACAGCAATTATTACACATGAAAATACATTGCAAAGTTGAAATACACATAGCTATCATGATCTGTACAAAAAAAAAATAATCAGCATGAAATATTCTATATTCTTAACATATTATTTGATTTATTTTATTAACTCGTCATCAGGAGAAGGATATTAAAAATCAAACTCATGAGTTCGAATCACCTAAACAGCTCACACAAAAGCTATAGTAAAAATACAGCTGAAAATCTGGATAATTAATTTGCTACAATGGTTTCAGTGCTCCAAACTCCAGTCATCCCTTAAATAAGGATTAACAATGAACATTCAAGAGAAGACTTTACTGACAATGAAAAGAAAAATAGGCAACCATTTTGCAAAAGAAAACAACCTTTAAAATCAACTTGAACCCCTGTAAATGACAGACCTACCAATTTCAATTCTACTTTCTATTTGAGCATTTGGAAGTTGGAACATAGGTAAGAACATTAGAACCAGCATAACAAACTTCAAGGTAATTCAATAATTAGCAAATTATATTTATTTTGTTGATGCACAAGATAGTAAGAGGCCGACATCCAGTTTTATACACAAAATTTAGCTCAAACCTTAAAAAATATAACACAACTAAGAGATATCCAGTTTTATGCAACAATAGTAGAAAGAAGAAACAAATGGAACTTAAAATTACCACAAGACTTAGTTAGCAAACTTTCTAAGTCAACAATATAACAAAAGTACCCATAGAAAAACATCATTCAGATTAATGTTATCCAAACACAACAATGAGTAGTCTTCTCAAAAGTGGCTACCTTCAAGCCATTACTAATTCTCATCCTTAGATTATGCAAAAACCCATGCCAACCATTAACATTTTGTAACTGCAGCTTTCTTACCCACTTCAAACAATTTGAACCAAAATGTCGTAAAAGATGAAAAAACTCAAAATGATGATTTGCAATCCTGCATCTTTTACTGATTAACGCTCATAACTAAAACTTTTCGACAATTCGTCACTCCAAAAAACAACATTTCCTTTTTCTTTTCAATCTTTGAATTTATCCATATCTACTTTAGATGACAACTTGCAAACTTTTTTTTTCTCTAGTACATAATGTAGCACAAACATAAATTGCAAGAAGAAAGTTAAAGCAACAGTATGTGCCACTTGAATCATATCTCAAACTAATCAAATATTCATCCAATCCACTAGAGAGTCGATCAGGGATTCTCGCTTGGCCATTTCTAAGGTTACTTTTCCCTTGGCCCTTATAAAACTTCTTCAATCTTTAAACCAACAATGTATCGAATTAACATCTGATTCAAACTAATTGTGAAATAGGAAACAAATTGAATAGGACAGAGAACAAAAATACAAGTGGCTATATCTATAGTTAGCGAAAGTAAAGTAGGCGGCTTTCTCATTCAATTCACAATTTCCCCAAAATACAAGTGGTAGGAGTAGTTAATAACTATATGAAGAATAATTCTGTTGTGATCCACACCCATTCATATCTTTCACCGACTGTTACTCTCTGTCTCACTCTCCTGATTCTCTTTTTCCTTTCTCCAGATTCTCTAATAAGGACATATTATTCACATCCTTAATATCCAAATCCCAAATGCCCAGCATAATGAATCAACAAAATACTGAAATTCCAGTCACAGATCAACTTTAGCATAACGAATCAGCAACAATAGCCTTCAGATTGTAAAAATTACCAGATTTAGCTTCAGTTCACCCGCGTGTTAATTACTTGATTGTCTTGAAATTTGAAGAAACTGGTGGTGTTGCTGTGGTGGAGGCTAGAGATTGAAGGATAGATGACTATCAGAAATCATGATTAGGAAACGATCGATGAATTTCAAGAGATGGCGGTGGAGGTTTTTAGCTTTAAGTTATCGGCGCTGAAGAAGAAAGGAAGAAAATCTACGAGAAGAGAAGCAGAGTAGCGGCTGACCCAAGTTTTGTCAATTTGTTCAATTTTTTTAGTCATTTTTTAGCTTTTTTGGTTGGTTAGTCAACTGTCAAATTGTCAAACTTTGACTGAAAAAAGGCCAAAAAAGAAAAAAAAAATTGAGGTTAATCAAAATTTTCGGTTCACCGGTCAAACTCGGTCTATGACAGGGTTTGACCGATTTTATAACATTCGAGTTTTTTAACTAACTTGGACCGGATGCCTGGCCAGTTCCTGATTAGATCGACCGGTCCGGTTTGAGTCTGAAAACACAGAAAAGTTGTACTTGCTTGTAAATAGTATTTTGACAAGTGTTTAACGATCATTTGTAAGTATTGTAGGATACTATAGTAGCAATTGATGGCACCCATATTCTAGTGTGTCCCCTACCGGGACAACAAATGGCCTGCATTAATCGACATGGTACTTAGTCGCAAAATCTTTTAGCTGTTTGTGACTTCGACATTCACTTCACACACACACACACATATATGTTGGTAGAAGGAAAGTGTACACGATGCACAAGTGTTAGAGGATGCTCTATTGTACCCATCTGATTTTCTAATGCTACTCGGAGGTGGTATGTTATCTTTAACTCATTATTTTATATAATCCTAATTTGATGGTAAAGATTTAGAGTATTATCACCAATGCCAAGCCGTCTACGTTTTAAGCAAGTAGTATCTTGTCGATACTACATACAAGAATGTTTCCAAATTTTCTATCTCCATACAAGAATGTAGGCTGAGCGGGCTTGAAAAAGAAGTTATTTAATATGCGTTACTCAGAGTTTAGAAATGTCATTGAATGAACCTATGGAGTATTGAAGAAGAGATTTGCGTTCTTAAGGGGACCAATTCCCAATTTTTACATGATCATTTAAGTAAGTGTTGTTATAACTTGTCGTGCATTACACAACTTTATTAGGCTGAACCAATCGGCCAACTCCCACTTTCATTTCTATGAGCAAGAGAATGTTGGATTGGAGCATGATATGGAGGTGCCACAATGCCAAATGCTTCTTGAGCTGAGGTTGCAACATGGAAAGCAAGGTAGGACTCAATTGAGGAGTGAAATGTATGGAGCGCAGCGTTGAAGAAGGTGCTAACAAATCAAAAATAGGAGTTGTACGGATCAACCGATATTGTAGTTTGTTCCTTTTGTTAATTGTTTGTGGTTCTTAAATAGGGTACAATGTGTGTCGAAGAATTTTTTCTTAATAGGAATAATAGCCAATTAGGTTTGTATGTGGCTAGGGTGTGCATTATGGCATTTTTCATTTATCTATGGCTTAGTGATTTTCCCAATCATTTTTGTAGGTTGGCCGTTTGTCTTGGTATGCATGATAGTACTCCTATCGTCAATATATCAGTCAACTTAATTATATAGTTGATTGGGTTCCAAGTGTCGACAAGGGATTAAATAATCATTTATGCTGTCCAAACAATATTTGGAATAATCATTTATGTTGACCAAGTGGTTATTTGGTGCTTTGAGTTTGCACAAAAGTTAACAAATAATTATAAGGAAAAATGCACCAATCGTAACATTCTCTAAATCATGTTAAAATGGGAAAATGACCAAATTCGTCCCTAAACATTTTTTCTAGTGCTAATTTGGTCCCTAACATTTATTTCTATCCAATTTGATACATGAATTTAAATTGCAGTTCCAATTAAGCATCTCCACGGCAGCACCACCACTTAAAAGCACTTGAACTTCTAATTTAATAGCTAAATAGGGGTATTTTGGGACCTTCAAGTATGGATGGTACTAAAACCAAGTAAATCAGAAAAAAAATCATTAGTTTTTGTGGTTTTTTAATATTTAACACTTTTTTAAGGTGCTTTTAAAATTTTTATCTTAATTTCTTTCCCCTTCCCCTACCTACCTCTCTCCCTTCCCGCTACCCTCACCATTCCCCTCCTTGCCATGGTCATCACCCTCTCCTATCCCCTTTCCTTTTTATCTACTATTTTCCTCCAATCCCTTTGCTAACATTGCATCTCTTGATCTCTTCCTATTAAAGAAAAGTCTAGCAGATAAAAAGCCAAAAATCCTATATTTAAGGAAAGGAGGATAGCTCAAATATGGCTGGTCAGTTGGACACATATCAAAAAGACTTGGTACAATTGCATAAGTGATACAAAAAGGATTAAAACTAGTGATACCAAAAGGATTAAAACTAGTCAGAGAGGTGAGCTTTTGGGAAGTAAAAGATCAGAGACCTAGCAAGAAAAGGAAGTTTCTGAAATTCCATAACCATGTAATTTTTCTCGCATATGCAGAAATTTAAGAACCCTTTTTCTTAAATATTGCAAAATACTTTCAAGAACTTAAGGTAAAATAGAAACCAAAATCAAATCTTTGAAAAGATGGGGTTAGACTCGATCATGAAAACAAGAACATACATAGCACAACCCATATCCTCTGCAAAAATTATAGATGGCTATTGCACAATTAATAGATGGAGGTCTAGCCGCCTTTGCCTTTGCATTCCATTCCAAAAACCATATCTTGCATTCAAATGATTAAAAAGATGACTGAATAAAAGCATTTTGAAAGACCCAAGTTCCATTATAAGTCTCTAGCTTTTCTATTCAGTTTGTTAAACTCTTTCTCAATCTCAATGCCTTGGGATTTCTTATCCATAGTATACTTCCAATTATCTTTGTCATCGTTGGGTTTCCTGAATGTCATCAAGATATATCATTTCCTCGGACAATTGTCCTTCAAAAGAAAATTTTACAACTATTGCACTTTGCTTCTCATGTCCTATAGCACTAGGAGGTATAAAACGCGCGATGCGCGTAGGTGACTAAAGATAATATGCCCTGCCAAATATGCGAATTAAGGGAGTGATTGAATTTTGGTGCATTCTTCTTTTATCCAACATTGCATGCAAGTTCTTTTTTTTTTTTTTTTTTTTTTTTTTTGTATATCAGTATGAATATGCATGGCAGTTGATAGAGGGAAAAATATCACTGAGCTATATAGATTAAGGTTGATAATCCAAAAGTCCATTAAACTTCAAGGCAATGCAAAGACTTCAAATCCATTGCATTACATGAATTTGGCAACGATGATGATAATGTACCTGGCTGCTGCACTGGATAGTAAAATCACAAACTATATAGCGAGGTATTCTCTACATATTCAGAAAACCTAATAACTTGCAGGTTGAAGCTTTGTAAGTTGATGCTATATCTTTTTAGATTCATCACCCGTGGCTTCTGATGCTTCAGCTGTGGCTTTGTCTCTCCCAGTTTCTTCATAAGTTCAGCTACAAGAGCGACATGCCCAAGGCAATCAGTAGTTCCACGTCCCCGTAGTTTATCCTCATCAATGCTCAGCAAAAAAGGATCAAAATTCTGAGGCATAGATATTGTCTTAGACTCTAAATACAAAACACTCGAATACTGAGGAGACAAAAATTTATACCCAGGTCAAAGAGCAGAACTCAAACTTAGTTTGTTTCCAACCCCTCTATTTACTTCCTTGAAACCTTGGAAAAAGATAATTACAAAGACAGGTTCTAGCTAAATTCCATAATCATGCCCTCGAATTAAGAAATAGCTGGTTAAATCGCACTTTAAATATAAGTTACGAGTTGAAGTAATTTTGTTTTGATGGAATACAATATTTGCAACAACAGAATGAGATACCCATTAGTTAGTAAGGTTAATGAACTCATTACCCCAAATCATAGCACGGGCCTCATAAAACAATACAGAGAGCCAAAAATTTTCATTAAGGTACCAATTTAGGACTCAAGATTTAATTTTCTTATAGTGAACATCCTTAGACTACAAATCAGTAGCTACCGTAAAATAAGACTTGCATACATTCAATATCTACCAAAAATTAACTAAGTTCCATAGCTCGTCATTGCATAACTACAATTTCCATACGAGGTTCAAATTCCTGGGGAAAATGGATATGTTTGTAGCATTGTACATGCAACAGTGAGATCTAACCATAATAACAATGAAAAGATTTAGAAAAATATTGCCAGTGTATAAAAACACAAAAAAGTCTCCAACTTTAAACCTTGCACTATCAAATTTAAACTTCCAATCAAAGAAACCCCTTTCATCATCAATTAAAACAAATTTTTTTTTTCAGAATAGAGAGAGAGTTGCAAACTTAAAGTAAGAAAACCCAATTAACATATACCATTTTCTTTTGTCCTCATTCTGGCAAACTCACAACACAAAACAAATTTACGATCAGTTCCAGTCAAACACAAGACAAAACCAATCATCAGAATGTAAGAAAAATGCCAAAATGTAAAATCAGATTAGAAATAAATTACTCAAAAAAGCTAAAAGTTCAAAATTTGTTACCCAGTCAGAAGGGTTGGTAGTAACAACATCCATATGCATTCCAACAAAGGAAAGAATTTTATTGGGCTCAGTTCCGGGAGGAGCTTTGCTTCATTTACAAAACCACCCCTTGAATTGCTGGACACCATGCAATTCCATTTCTTGAAATATTGCAAAAGCTTTCTCCCAGTCATCTGCATACGGAAATTCCACAAGACATTTAGTTTGAGCTTCTTAATATCAGTAATTTTAAGCCAGCATATATGAAATAGTTTGAGATAGGATTTTACCAGCAACACTAAATGCATGTAGCATAGCAGTATATGTGACAACATCAGGATGAAAACCGGCCATCTTCATCATGGAAAACATTGATTCTGCTCCAGTAAGTTGACCCTGAGAGAGAGAGAGAGAGAGATTTAAGTATGGAAGAATCTAATTACAGGGACAGTAGTCACAAATCGATAGTCCTTGCCTGTTTACTCTAGGCACATATAGCAGATGAATACACCTCTTGTGATAATGGAACTTTGAGGGCCAACATTTCATTGAGAAATTCAAGTGCATTAGAGAACTTTGACATCTTACAGCAACCACTTATCAACACATTGTAAGTGACAAAATCAGGTTTAACATTATGTTTCCTCATCGACCCATATACCATTATTGCTCTATCAAAGTCCCCAAAATTCATGTAACTTCCAATTTGCAGAATTATATGCAACCGTGTTCAATTTAATGTGCCGCAACTCAGCAGCTCGCAATATGGATTCAATCTTCACTTTTCGCTTTGAAAATATAGGCTAATCCACAAAAGCTCGAACAAGGGAAATAAAAAAAATGGAAAAAACATCAGAACAAAGAAGGTGGTACCTTAAAAAAGACAATGGAACCAAATTCAGGGGAGAAAAGTTCCTCTGGTACGCACCTCACAGTGGGTTCAGCAACCAGTTGTCGGAGTTCAAGAATGCGATTCTAATGGCCGCGATTCTCACCTACAAAAACAGAGCAAGCGGGGAAAGATGATTCTGCGCTACCAACTCTATCTTAGATGGAGCATAAGAGTCCAGAAATTAAAAATCATTCCAGCTGCAACCCAAAAAAAATGAAAAAAAATTCAATGCAATGAAGGTTTATGGAACCCCAAAAGGTAAAAAAATAGCTGGGAAAATAACACAAAAAAAAACAAAAACCATAAAAGAGAACAACGGAGGCAATACCTTAAAAAAGCCGAACAAAAACAACCGGTGGAAGATACTTCTATGCTACCAACCCGCAAGAATTCTAGCCGCAGCAAAGGTTAAAAAAGAGCAAATGGCGGGAGTACTGCCAAACCACAACCATTCCAGCTTAAAATCGATAAAGAAACAACCGGAAAAAATAGCACAAAAAATCCATAAAAAAAAGAAAACAATGGAGGCAATACCTTTAGAAGAACGAACAAAAAAAGAAAGCGCCTCACAGAAGATACCTCTATACCACCAAACCGCAAAAATTCCATCCACAGCAAAACGAAAAGGAAAAAAAAAAGAGGGAACGACGGAAACCATTACGGCTTAAAATCGATGAAGAAACAACCGGGAAAAATAGCACAAAAAATCCATAAAAAAAGAAAACAATGGAGGCAATACATTTAGAAGGACGAACAAAAAAGAACGCGCCTCGCAGAAGATACCCCTATACCACCAAACCGCAAAAATATCATCCACAGCAAAAGGAAAAGGAAAAAAAGAGGGAACGACGGAAACTATCAATGTTGAAGAGGAAAGAATGGCTCTAGTCGAAAGAAAAAGTCCATTAATCGTCCAGCTCCATCGAGTACAAAAAAAAAAAAAAACATGACTCAGCAAAAACAGTACAACCACAGCAGAGCAGAGCTGGAGTGGAGTGGAGAGCAGAGCTGGAGTGCAGCGGAGAAAAAAAACAAGAGCGGTAAATTTGTACAGCTGTCCGTTGAGTAGAATGACTCAGCAGAACCAGGTCTTAAATTCTGGCACGTGAGTACTACGAGGGCCGACGAAACAAAATGAGCCTCAGGGCTGACGAAACAAAATGAGCCTCAGGGCCGACGAAAAGAGCCTCAGACCAAAACCACCCCTTTGCTCTTATTCTATATATGTTGAAAATGGTAGAAGGGAAAGGTGGGTGGCGGCCAATGGAGTTTGGTGGTAGAGGAAGAAGATAACTCAAAATTACCAAAACACCCTTATTTATTTAGTCTATTGGAAACTAAATCAATTTTGTGTGGTGGCGACGCCGTGGAGGTCCTTTACTGGAATCGCAACATAAGTTCACGTAGCAAATTGACCAGAAACTAGCAGATGTTCACCATGCTTGCGCATGGTGGAAAATCATAATTATGCCCAACCCAGTTTTGGCTAATAGTTATGAATATTATATATGAAAAAAACTACATAATATTGTTTTAAGTATGTTAATGTGTTAATCTTTTAAAAACTAAGTCATCAATAAGAACAATATTTTTTGTTACAGGATATTTAATAGGGTTAATCCACAATTGAATAATAGCTGGACACCGGTCAATTTTGATATTCACAGAAAAGAAATTAATTTGTTGTATTTGACTTATTATTTAGTAAAACAAATGTATCATAAAAGCTAAGAAATGGATAATTAGACTTTCACTGCTACTGGTTAAAACTTATCTATTTATCTTTAAAATACAAGACTAACATTACAAGAATTACCATCCACATGAAAATAATCTCTATAACAATTGAGCTTCTGACTGCCAACACGATGTAGGTTATCATTTTTCCAATTATCTCGCTGCCTTGCCTCTTCTTGAATAGCAACATCAGCATCAGCCTCCTCTTCACCACGGCTCAAGTTCTCCTTAGGACCTTAGCCAATGTGACAGTAGTCAATTTCAATAATAATCAACAACCAAAATGTGAACAACATTTTTCAGTAAAACCTCTTGCACATATTTTCACCTAAAAAGGAATCAAACCAAGATAGGTAAGATGAGTAAAAATAAGTTTCAAAAACAAAAGAAGAGCTATTTTTTGGATGGATGCAATGAAGTATGAAAATTTTTAGATAGTGCCTACAAAGTAAAAGAGAAATATAATAATGATGAAGCAATATGATCCATTTCCAGTTAATGATACATAATTTATAGTCTGTAAAAAAATGACAATGTTATTACTACTCCTACTCATTGTTTGAGACATCTCACAGATTGCCTTTTGTGAGCCAAGAGTTGTATACAAAACTACATAGTAGATAACCACGAAAAAGAAAAAAAAAATACAAAATCAAATCAGCCGAAAATCCAGAGAAAAAAATAGCAGGAAAAAACTTTAAAATCAAATGACTTTTCCCACTTTCAAAATTTCTAGATAATCTTTTCACAAGTGACCATTTGTTCTTGATCATTCGAAAGAGCTAGGGAGTAAAACCCCCTGAAGTAAAGCCAACTAAAATGCATTGAATATTTACCATGCTCAAGAACAAACTCAAGGAATAGAGTAACTTTCTGCTACATTGCACAAAAGCCAAAATTTACAGCCTTAAAGCACCACATAAAATTGAGAAATCCCTCAAATTTAAAGAAAGATGGCTAACTATTTTCTTTAGCGATCAAAGAAAATATATAAAAAGTACTTTTCAGTTCCATAAAACTTACTATTCATCCACTGAGGAATGTTAGTAATCCATGACAAAATCTTCAAACGTGAAACTACAACACTGGAAAAAAAAACTAATAACAAATCTAAAAGGAAAAAAAGGTGCCAAGAAAACAGGAGCTCCAACAGCGAGACATTTGCATGTTATTCTTGCTGAAGAAAAAATATTGGTTGAAAAGGTAAAGGTATTACCTTTTAAACTTGAATTCCATCATTGATACATAAGAATAGGGTAGAAATTCACGTGAGAAGAAATTATCTAAAATTTGTCAATAATGGTCTGAGATGCTATGTGCCAATGAAATATTAGGAAGAAAGGACATATAAAACATATTGCAAGAGAGTAAGTAATTAGGGCATAATGGAAAGAAAAAATTTTGCATTTCTTATTTACTTGTCAAACAATAAAATTATTTGTTCATCTTGAATTTTACCATTGGAAATTAAAAATAGTAAAAAACTCGTGTGAGAAGAACCTTTCTAATTTTTCCCGTTTTTCCTTTTAGACCTCCTAAAATTTTTCATTAATGTTTTGAAATGCTCTAAGCTAAGGAGAAAGTAGAAGAAAGGAAAAAATAGATAAAATATACGCAATAAAATAAGAAATGAGAGCATACAAACCTTACCTTTTAATAAATTCTCTAACGTAAATTGCAAACTTTAAATAAACAATAAGGGGACACATATTTCTGAAAAAAAAGTTCCAACAAAACCCACAAAAAATGAAATCTGTCAACGAAATTGTTTATGAACGTAAAAAATCTAGATATGATGGGTACCTATATCAGATTTTCCACATCTTAGAAGAGGGACGAAGGTTCTTGCTCCTGCGTTTGGAGAGACTGAATCAAAACAAAGAAGGAAAATGTTACAGAAAAAAAAGAAAAAAGAAAACAAGGACATTAAACATAGGCAAAAGGGGTGAAAGTTTACCATGATTACATTTGGGGAAAAAATGATTCAGATGACTGAGATGAATCAAACATCTTCCCCCTTCATCCTTGTTTCCCCTTTACTGTTATTTGAAGAGAGACCTTGAGAGGAATCCGCCATTAACAAAGAAGTGAGGAGGAATGGGTGAGACAAAGGTGTCACCTGCGTTTTTTCTATTCTGTTCTGGCAGGCAAACGAAGAGCAGGGGAAAAAATTTTGAGAAGTGAGACTTTGAGAGAGTTTCTGAGAGGAGGGAGGTGAAACATTTGAGAAGTGTTATTTGGCACATTGGACAGAGAGTCCCAGCAGACGCATGCTTGCTTTTTTATGCTTTTCATACAGACATGCTAAACCCTTTTAGTTCCAAGACAACAAAAGAAGAGCCTTTCTATTAATCTCTTTTGGATTCCAACACACAAAAGAATATTCATCAAAACAAAAAAATTCTCACACAAGACCACGTGCAATGCACATGGAGGACGACCATGCTTTGGCAGCCCCTTCCCGGTTTATATACATTCTTTAAATACTAGGAGGCAAGAACCGCGCGTCGCGCGGTAGGGATGAAATTGTGAACGCCCAGCTCAGTATGATGAGCTGGAATATGAAAAAGGAGAAAAATGGAGCTAACAAGGAATTTGTAAAACAAGGGTTGAAGCAGTAAAAGAGGAAAGCATTGAAAGATCAAGAAAATGGTTCATATCATTGCCGAACATAAGCTCCATAGTGGACCTGTCCAATTCAACTGTCGAAACCACTTAAACACAAAATGTCATGCCCAGATTTCAATGCATGACTCTTTAATAATTTTTCAAATTAAGAATTTTTATTTTTCTTTCAAAATTTTTTTCTATGTCTATTACATCTAAACTATTAATTTTGTAATCAATTATTCTTATTTAGTAGTAAGAGGTAAACAATAACAAACTTTAAAAAAATTATAAATTAATTTTAATATTGTCATTCCATCAAATATTTATCTTTTTTTATCATACGCCTTTGTTAGCTTCCATTTTGATTTTGAGTGTCATGAATAGGTGGTATAGGATTGCAGTATTTTTTAAGTCCTAACATTTTTTTGTATTTTATTTAGGCCTATTATGAAAAGTATTTAAATGCTAGTTATTGGCCTGTAAGATTTAAGCTTAAATTTATATTTTTCAAATTATTGTATTTGTATGTATTTGATCATGACTGCGGCACTGTCCTAGCATACTCAATATCTTCTAATGTAACATAGTTACTGTATAAAAGGTTACGCCTGTGTTACTATGGTACCAACTTATCATACTTTTATTAATAAAAATATTTTGAGGACTAATGTTAAGAAGAGGAATAATCAGAACGAGGGAAATAATTTACATTTTGTTCTTTTCGGAGATTTTTATCGAGCAACAAGGTGTTTAGACGAGAAATTGCAACTACCAAGATTAAATGACAAGCAAACTTCTATGCAAAATATTATCTCATCAACAAATAAGATTAGAATAATGAAATGATAGAAAACGAGTTTTAAAAATTATTTATCATCATAAGGAGCATCAATCAAGTGGTTCCCGGCTCCCTTCGTTCCATACTTTATTTTTGGTTCTTTTTCTTTTTTTGTTGTTTGAGAAGGGGGGGAGGGTTTCAGTTAGAGGCAAAAGCCTAGTTACATAGGAATATTACACCCATCTAAAAAAGCCTGAAGAGCTAATTTTTCTGCTTTGATGGTTTATTGAAATGCTTAAGATTGCAACCATCACACTGGATAAAAAAAATGCACCATCCAAAATGCTATTCAGGCCTGTAACCAAAGTTAGCATCAACTTTATTGCTAAACATCAAAGGCTAATAAGTACATTCCATTGGAACATCTATTATCAAAGCTGAACATCAAACTGAGGTAACCGAAGTACATTCATTATTAAAGCTTGATAAGTCCATTGTCAAAGCTTGAAGCGATAAACAACAGCAGCAACTTGCTGAACATTAAATTTGCAGCGGGGTAAATCATCAGACGGAAAATGCAAAGTGCCATGGATACAACTTCTCTATCCCTTTTTGATCGAACACCAGCAAACTGAGGTAAGGTGCATGAGGCTCTTTCCAAGGAAGCCGGTGATAGACGAGTTCTGAGCCAGCTCTGCGAAACATTGGTTTTCGATCTTAATTGACAACCCAAATACAATACATCACAATAAGCACGACAAAATGGCAGTTTGGTGGGGAAAAAATAAAACCTGAGGATTGTGTTGGGATCCGTGACAACAGCACCATCAACCTTAATCTGCAGCCAAAAATAGCACTCAACTTACAGCAAAACCCAGCCAGCCATGTAGTCGGGAAATTTTCAGAATTTGGACAATGGTACCGAGAAGAATCAAAACCTGTTTGTTCTTTATTCTCTACAACCAACTGCTCAATTATCAGTACATTAAGAAATCTCAAAATCTTAACACAAAACTGCAGCTTATTCGGCAATTAGTGTCAGCCAAAAAGGGATATAGGGGAACGAAAAAATTAAAGAAAAATAAATAATTCTTTTGAAGGAAAAGAGAGAGGTAATCAAAAGTTGTATCCATGTGCCAATGATTCATAGTTCCTCACTAATGCTCGACTGGATACATATATAAGCATTTCAAGATGTAAAATCAACAAGGCCATAAGTCAAGCTAACAAGTCATTTTACAAGTTCCAAATAAATTGCAGTTCCTTGGCATCAGATAAACAAAGAGAACAGGAAAAGAGAGAAATCTAGAGTCGTAATTAATTACTTCTTAAACAGCTGAATGACACAATCTAGTGGGTGAACCTGTTTATGTTGAGGGCGTTGGCTCCTCCTTCAGGCTGAGCAAGCAGTTCAAGGCTTTGTAATGGAGGACCCAAATTTTCATCCTCTCTCCCTTGCACTTTTACGGTAACAATATGACCACAAAATCTTATGATAACAAACCCTAGAGTGGCAATGTCCTGCAATTAAAAGTTTTATAGATTCATTTAACTGAACTGGAGCAAATGAACAAGAAAAGGTCAAGATCTTCATTCAAAGGCATTGTTAATGATATCCTTAGTATTCTCTTACATGGGCAGCAGTATTTTCATCAGCTGTGATCCCCTTCAGTAGGTTCCTTTCAATTAACTTTTCTGTGTCTACATCAGTGGCCTGAGCCCCATCAATCTCAGTATCTACTTTGCAGCTAGCATCTAAAACATCTTTTGTGACAGATACACATAAATCTCCTACTCTCTCTGTACAACTTGTCTGAGTGCTTACAGCGGAACGAGCTAATTCTGGCATTCGCATTACAAACTGGACAGCGGAAATAGCTCTACAAATGGCAACATCTACAAACAAGCAATGAAGAAGGAAAGCTTTTCTGTCTCGAATCTACCTCTCCATTGCTATCTTGCATGGCATAGAAGCAAGAAATGAAAATTCATTAGCATAAGGTAGTAAATCACTTTTGCCATCTCTGCCAAGACCGCCTCCATTTCCTCCCCACCTTTCATCCTCAGTGGGAAGAGGTGGAAAAATAGAAGGTGATAATGCCACTACAGGGGGAATAAGCCATGTGTTAGCTCTGAAGCCATATGGGAGATTTCCAAACTGCAATACCAGAAATTACAATAGAATTGTGAGGCAAAACGAATCTGGATGAAAAAGAAGATTTGTCATGGTACCAAGCAATAAACAGGAGCAGAAAAAGCTCGACAAGGAATAACAAAAATGGACAGATTTCTACACCTTGTTACACTCTGCAAAAGCTTTCATTACATCGTTATAGGCCTGAAAAAAAAAATAAAGTTCTCTGAGGTTTGCAGGAATATCGTTAATCAGCCAAATGGAGGACTTTGGAAGCATCTGAAGCAGCAGCAAGTATATCTCACACAACAAACGACAAAAGAAAATGTACCCAACTTCTTGTCAGAATAAGGTAGATCTGGCAGACTTTAAACAGTAGTAAGACTTTTAAAGACTTAAACTTGATCACGTCAATTATGACACAGAACTAACTAAAACTATGATGGAAACTCAAAGCATCAGATTACCTATCTTGTCAAGATCTCTACTTCCTCTATAGCAAGGAAGAACATATAGACAAAAAAATGTAAAATGATATAACATAATCACAACATTACTCAAGAAAATAAAGCTTCTATGGTTTCTCTGCTAAATGACAAGACTACGATGCTTATTGGGCATTTTGAGCACTGTACGTTGAACAAGAGTGAACATTGTCATCGTGGAGCGGAAGACATTTCAAATTCTTAGTTAAGAAACAAATAACTGATACAGTCTTTTTTTATTGTTTCCATCCCACACATCGACATAACCATCACAACCTCAAGTAGCAAATGTACCATAGCTACAAATTAAAATCAGTTTTGAGACAGATTTTGGCAAAAAGCTAAAGGTATTCAATCAATAGATAATTGTAATAGATCCAACTCAATCATTCAACATATAATAAATCAAGAAAAGATAGGTCCACCAGTAATGATTATTGGCATTGATTTTCCTTTTTAACAAAACCTGAAAAACACATAAAGGCCAAAGTTGCCAACTTCCAAAGAATAACTGCTAAACAATAATCTCTTCGTTGTGGATAAATGTATATGCAGCACTTACATAAGATGAAATGCAATTTAATTCACGAAGTAGACAATGTCCCTTCCAGCTCCAGGTTTCCAATGACATTCAAACACATACCTACACATATACACATATAAACCCTCATGTAGTAGACAATTATCAAGGTCTGCCTATTTCATTCTCATTCAATTCTTGACATGAAAGAACTTCATTTTGCTAGAAGGTATATCCAGTCACATTTAGAAGCTGCTTTGATTGAATAACAGAACATGTTCATCAACTATATCAATTCATGTTGATACACTTAGTCTCAGGTTGGTACACTTAGGCGCAGGGAGTACATCATAAGTCAGCATAGAGTAAAAAAATGTATAGTTCTTTCAACCTTTTCTCCTTTTTTTTTTTTTTTGCTTTAACTGTTTCCTTTCTCTGTTTCCTCTAAGCAAGGACGGTTTGTCTGTCATTGTTATAATAATCCTTTTCTTATGATGACAGTAATTAGAAAAAGAAAAAAGAAATAAGTAATGAGCTTGTAGATCTACATTGGGAAAATGTTAACTAATTCTGCAAATTAAAAGAAAACCAGATAAAAAATATATTTGGAGAAAAATCTTACAAGCAATAATTTGAACTTCGACTTGCCATCACAGTAGCCATCTCCGCATTGTACATCTTGTTGTTGCTGAAAATTGCCTCAATCTACTCAAGGCATGACAAAATAATCAGGAAACAATATTTATAAAAGCAATTAATTTTTAGTATATTACAAATAACAAATAAAAAAAATCCAATTAGATATAATCTGAAACGAGTTGTAGTCAACATATCTTTAACTTTTTCTTCAACATTTCACAGAAGCAAATACTTCAAAAAATGCCGACCAAGTTTGAATTATATACCCTACACAAGCAGTGAGAGATGCCGATGATGGCGACGAGCTTGCGGCGGATTTGAAAGCCCTTCCAATGGCTGAGAGGGGATCTGGCGAGAATGAAGTTGAAATGGAGGGAGGCGGAAGGGAAATCCTAGGGCTGGTGGGAGAAGGGAAACCCATAATGCTAGGTGTAGAATAGAAGGAGCCGATAAAGGAGAGGGAGACGGTGTGGCGGTGGAGGAGGAGGAGGAGTGAACGGATGCAAAAGCGAAAAAAGGAAAAAACGGAAAAAAAAAAACAGAAGAAGAAACGGTAAAAAAAGCGGAGGGTGACGAAGGGGGGAATCCTATATTAGGGACAATGGTGGTTATTGTCGGTAGTTCTGTGTTTGAGGGGTTTGAGGAGTGGCGGCTGAGGAGAATAAAACCGTCTTCTGTTCAAGAAAGAGAGACAAAAAGAATGAAATAAATAAAAGAAAAGAGAGAATAGAAGAAACGGCGGAGCTAACCCTAGTTCAAACAATTTTTTTGTTGTGTGTAGAAAGACATGGCCGAACTTCTGGCTATGAAGAAGTAGAAAGCTCACCGGAAAGGAATTTTATGTTGAGAAGTAGAAAAAGTACAATGGAGGAGGAGGAGCGCACCTCACCGAAAAGGAAGAGGCAGAAAAGGCACAATGGAGGAGGAGGAGGAGGAGCCGCGAACGGACGGCAGCTGATCTGGACTACTGCAACACAAAGAAAGCGAGAGACAGAGGATGCATGACCGCTACGCAGCTCGAAATGGGAATCAAAGAACAAAAAGCAAAAATATCAGTTTCAGGTTACAACTCACAGAGGAATCTCACAGTGAATCATGCACTTCACTGGAAGTAAGAAGAAGAGAAAAAGAAAACCTACAACGGAGGAAAAGGAGGAGAACCAAACGGCTACCACTGCAACCCAGAGACCGCGAGAGACCGAGGATCAACACTCCTTGCGTGGTAAGAAGAGAAACAGAGCAACATCGTCCAGAAGAAGAGAGAGAGATGTTAGGTGAAAGAAGAGGCATTGGATACTGCCGAATAGAGAAACAAGTCTATCAATGCGGCAGACGATGCAGCAGGAGGCACATGGGTTACTGCCAGAAGAAAGAGAAGAGGCCAACGGAGCTGAACCCGTCGCGCTATGCGCGAACAACACAATGCCGCTAACCCACATGCGTGGCACGTGAGAGGACGACGAAAACCTCCAGGTCACCACACCCCTTCGGCTCTTTATCTACTTATGTTGATCAAACAATTTTTTTGTTGTGTGTAGAAAGACATGGCCGAACTTCTGGCTATGAAGAAGTAGAAAGCTCACCGGAAAGGAATTTTATGTTGAGAAGTAGAAAAAGTACAATGGAGGAGGAGGAACGCACCTCACCGAAAAGGAAGAGGCAGAAAAGGCACAATGGAGGAGGAGGAGGAGGAGCCGCGAACGGACGGCAGCTGATCTGGACTACTGCAACACAAAGAAAGCGAGAGACAGAGGATGCATGACCGCTACGCAGCTCGAAATGGGAATCAAAGAACAAAAAGCAAAAATATCAGTTTCAGGTTACAACTCACAGAGGAATCTCACAGTGAATCATGCACTTCACTGGAAGTAAGAAGAAGAGAAAAAGAAAACCTACAACGGCGGAAAAGGAGGAGAACCAAACGGCTACCACTGCAACCCAGAGACCGCGAGAGACCGAGGATCAACGCTCTTTGCGTGGTAAGAAGAGAAACAGAGCAACATCGTCCAGAAGAAGAGAGAGAGAAGTTAGGTGAAAGAAGAGGCATTGGATACTGCCGGATAGAGAAACAAGTCTATCAATGCGGCAGACGATGCAGCAGGAGGCACATGGGTTACTGCCAGAAGAAAGAGAAGAGGCCAACGGAGCTGAACCCGTCGCGCTATGCGCGAACAACACAATGCCGCTAACCCACATGCGTGGCACGTTATCGATCACTACCGATTGAACACACCACTTGATTATCACTTCCCTACATGTCCTTGATATTGTTGCAAAATATCTCCCTTATCCTCAGCCCTTATAGCCGAAATATTTGACCCAAAATGCAAGGAAAAGAAAACAAAATTTTAGTTGGTTTTGGTGGTGACAAGTGTTGGCCACCTATGGTTCCTTGACCAAGCCAATGTCTTACCTTCTTATCTTTCATTTGAGTTCATTCTTCACCATTTTTTTTTGTTTTGGCTGAGAGCAAGGAGAGACAAAAGAGTGAAGAGAGTTTTCAATTTTCAACCTTGAATCCAACCTTTTGAGTGCAAACAAGAAAAACTAAACCGATTAATCACTAGTTTGGAAGCTTGGGAAGTTTGAGGAAAAAAAAATTTCAAGGAGAAGTGGAGGATCCTTCTTGCAAGCTCTTGTATTGAGGTATAATGGCTGATCAACCTTTCTTTCTCCATTAATCATGATTAAGTTGGGTATTAAGGTTAGAATTGTGCTTGTGATGCTTGTTTCAAATGGTTTTGATGATTGGAGTGATGAATTTTGAGTTAGGATTTTGATTGATTCACTTATATTTCTTGTGGGTTAGGTGTTATATGATGTATATATATGGTATATAATCTTATAAAGGAGAAAGTAGTGGTAGTTGTAAGGTAAAAATGCGACTTATAGTTTGAATATAGCAAAATTCCAGATTTCTGGAAATTGTAGCTTCAGTTCTGCCTGATTCTAGTTCACTATGTTAAAGGCCGAATTAGGCTTAGGCTAAAATATGAAAGTTATAGAGAATAATGTTTTATAATTGCCTACAAAATTTCAGCTCAATCGGAGTAACGTAGCCTATGAAAAGACCTAAATATCCTGACTGCCTAGGTGAATCCAGCGATCAGTTTTGAATATTTCACCAATCTAGTCGTGTCTTTTTACCATGATATGTACTGAACTAATATTTAGCCAAAACATGAAAGTTGTAGTATTATGTCTTAGCTTTCTAACGCCACTGAAAACGCCTTAATTGGATTTTGGTAGCCTGAGTTATTGTCATTTACACATAATGTGGTTAACTGACCTGTTTGTGAGATTCTGGTTCTGTAATTTAAAATTTTGACCTAGATACACTACGAACTGGACTAAGTGATCTTCATCAAAGTTGTAACTCTCTGTCTTAGCTTCGAAACGGTATAAATTGCACCTCAATCCGATAAGCGTAGTCTCGATTGTGTCCATTACGCAAAATAACATCAAATCTATCTTTTGTTTCTTGACGCAAACTTCATTTCCGCACATGTTCCTAGCTTGATTTTGTACTTGTATGACTTTGAGCCTATGGAATGGCTACTGAAATGAGATGATTTTGTGTGTGACTTTGGGATTGATTGAGGAAAACAATGAAGTCATAAATGACTGGAAAATAGGTAAATACATAGGGCGTGCTGTCCAAATTTACGTTCGAGGGCTAAACAGCTATACTTGCGACTCGAGTAAGGCTTGAGAGCGAATATCACATGAACCATCTAGGATATTTGCATCTTCTTTTATCGAGGTATATAAGTGAGAATTTAGCCGAAACTTGTACCCTTGGAAAAATGAACTTAACGACTAATAGAAATACGTTTTCTTTATCACTTTGACTCAAATGGAGATTTTAAAGTTTTACGAGTGAGTATAAGTTTTACAAATATTTTACTTATGTCTTTTGGTTTAAATGTACTTTTTTCACTGCCAAAATCATATTTATACTTTGTACTAGTACGTATTCGAATTTTCTTTGAATCACTTAAATCTTTGATAGTTGAAGTATAATGTATTCTTTTAATTATATTAGAGTTCATCGGTAACTGATGGTATTATCTGGAAGGATATTTTGGATATTATTTTGCGTAAATAAGTGAGTGTTCCTTGTTTGTTATATTTTCATTGACTATATGGCTTGTTCTTGACTATATGATTACATGTTCCATGTTATCAATGACTGTTAAAACGAATTTTACTAGGTGAGTGTATACTTTATCGCACTCAACCTAAATAAATGTGAAATTTTCAATGATTAAATGCTAGTTGCGCATGAATGTAAGCCGTTTGGCTGAACTGGGCCCTTGCCCTTTGTTACTTGTCGACTCGAGCCAGAAGCGGATTCGGTCGAGCGATTTGGTGACCTTGAGTGAAAGTTTGGTATACTCGAGTATTACCTTGTAGTCTGGTGGAGCCTGGCCAACGTCTAGGAGGGGTGAATGAAATGAATGAACGAATGTCAATGCAAATGAGGGGTTTTACTTACAAAAATACATTTTCAAATGATTGGAGAAATAAGGGGATGAAAGGAGAATGAATGAACGAATGAATGAATGGCTCCTTGTGAGCACGTATCCTTTTAATGAATATGTTATTAACACTTTCTATTGTAAATGTTTCTTGAGTTATTGGTTATCTATGGTTAATGCATTGGCTTTATTGTTTGATTATGTGTTTGGAACCTCACTGAGCTTATAGCTCATCCCTTTAGTTTTGTTTTCCTTAACAGGGGACGCGAGCAAGGACGAGAGCTCTGTATAGACTAGTTTAGTCTAGTTCTTTTGATTCTTTTGTAATAGTTTTCGCCCTAACACTTGGCAAGGGTTGGATGTATGAGGAATTGGGAACCTTTGTATATTTGAATTTTGTACTTCCTTTGGAGATAGGAATGAATATAAGTTTATGTTTTCAGTTTGGGGTCGGTATTCGTTTGTTTTGTAAATTTTATCTTCAATTCCTTGAGGTGAATGACTGAGCCCTGGTGAGAGTTGGATAGGCGGTCCGCCGAAACCTTTGGTTCGCCTTAGGGGGAAGTGGAGCTGTCACATTTTCATGGATTATTTGGAAGCAAAAGAACTTAAGAGTTATATAGTTAGAGTTTCAATTTGTGATTCGCTACTCAATTATATACTATGATTTGTCTGGCAGGTTGTTATTTGAGATTAAGTGATTCAATGATATGAAAAATTTGGAAGATATACATGAAGAAATAGAGGTTCTTCGAAAAAAGGTAGAGTTCCAAAAGAAATTGGCTAAAAACTAGGAAGGACAATGGAAACAAGAGTATACGGAGAAAATGGAGTTACTGAGCAAGAATATGAAAATAAAAAATATAATATATACGAAGGGATACTAGAGGAGTTGCAAAATAAGTTCGACTTGGTGCATTCTGCTATTCGAGTTGTATCTCAAGACATTTTCAGCAACAAAAATATTGTGGTAATGGAGATTCCACATTATCAAGGGAAATGCAAAAATATTAATGGAGATAAACATGCCATGAAGGAAAGAAAGAATGGATATTTTAAGAAGAAATTTGTAACCGTTAAGTGTGAAATTTATGACAAAATCTCATACTAGAATATGTGAGTTGAAAATTAGTGCCTTGTAGATGCTGCAACTTTGGACGTCAAGTGAGAGACTGCCCGAAATAAATGACTTAAGCTGTGGAAAATCTGTTATTTTAGTCGAAGTTAGCCCTTCATGATGTTTTATCTGAAAACGTTATATTTGTTGGCCTATATATAGCGAAAGTTTTATGTAGTAAGTTGGATTCCAGTTATAAATCTTGAACTTGAAATCTGATATTTGCATTAGTAATATGAAATGCCTATGTTCGATTGACATTAAATTCCTATCCATAAGTCAATTGCTGCAATTTAGTTTCGGATTTAGGAGAATTATTTATTTGTGATTAGTAAGGAAGAAATTTTGATGAGAAAGGGTAATATGTGTATAGTTTGGATAAGTCGGAGGAAATCCTGTAGAAGAGAGAACTTGAGTTTATTTTGCGAGCAAAGGGTGAGAATTTTGAGCACGAAATTCTTTTAAGGGGGAAAGAATGAGAAGATTCGAAAATTATTTTATATTTTCTCTTATTTTTGAAAAAAAATTAATTTATATTTTCTTTATCTTAATTTACTGCCTTAATTTCATGGTGACTTTAATGGTTGAGTCAAGATTTCTATCTTTTCCCTTTTATAATTTGGTGCATGTTAAATTTCGTAGTGCATTAAACTGGTGTGACTGACTAGTGAGATGTAACAAATTTGGTGGACGAGAATGGATGTGGTATTAGAGAAATTATGTGATTAGAAGTGCTAAAAGTAAATTAGAGAAACACAAGATAGATTGGTTGTTAGAGACACGAGAGAGACAAAGAGATAGATTTGAGTTACTTTCTTGACAAGTGGCAATCATCCATCTAACTTTGGATCAAGGCTTTGACTAAAACTAGTCAAATATTTATTTTGGATTAAGCTTCTATTTCACCAAAAAAACCTTTCTTTTCTTCACCCATTTAGCTGAAATTATAGAGAGAAAAGAGAGAAAGAAACCTTCAAATTTTACCTCGAAATCTTGCTTGATTTTGTGGAAAAAAGACTTGTTGGTAATAGGGAGAATTACAAGCATTTATTGGAATACATGCATCATAAAATCACAAAGCTATAGCCATGTCAGTATCATGCCATCTCTCTTTACTTTGCATACAAGACTTGATACTCGGTTGAGAATGATCAAGAGATTTACCTGCCATATAAGATTCAATGCCATGTGTTTTTTTTCCCCTTATTCCCACTCACATTAGTTTGAGTTGCCTTTATTTTTCGTTAAAGAATTTCTTGAACATCATCAGCTTCAAATCCTACTACACTTCGGCCAAATGGATTTCCAATTTCAAATATTCTTTTTTTCTCTTTTGCTTTTTGAACATTTTCATTCAATGAATCTTCCATTATCTGTTGAACATCATTTGGCACATTTGCATGGAGCAACATTACCCTTAACTTTTGCAAGATGATGTTTCATTCGATTAATACCTCCCCCTCTAAAAGTACCATTGCACTATTGACATATCAAAATTTTTCTACCTTGCGAATCTTGTCCTTCTATAACATGTCTCCAAGTCATATCAGTTTTTTGTCTATAATTTTCAGAACTTGACTTTGATGCCGATCCTTCATTTGTTGGTGTGGATTGTGAATCAGTACCTTCCATTGTCCTTCATTAGAAAGAACATTGAAAATATTAAATAATTTTAAAAACCCCTATAAATAAAAATCTACAGCAATTATTACACATGAAAATACATTGCAAAGTTGAAATACACATAGCTATCATGATCTGTACAAAAAAAAATAATCAGCATGAAATATTCTATATTCTTAACATATTATTTGATTTATTTTATTAACTCGTCATCAGGAGAAGGATATTAAAAATCAAACTCATGAGTTCGAATCACCTAAACAGCTCACACAAAAGCTATAGTAAAAATACAGCTGAAAATCTGGATAATTAATTTGCTACAATGGTTTCAGTGCTCCAAACTCCAGTCATCCCTTAAATAAGGATTAACAATGAACATTCAAGAGAAGACTTTACTGACAATGAAAAGAAAAATAGGCAACCATTTTGCAAAAGAAAACAACCTTTAAAATCAACTTGAACCCCTGTAAATGACAGACCTACCAATTTCAATTCTACTTTCTATTTGAGCATTTGGAAGTTGGAACATAGGTAAGAACATTAGAACCAGCATAACAAACTTCAAGGTAATTCAATAATTAGCAAATTATATTTATTTTGTTGATGCACAAGATAGTAAGAGGCCGACATCCAGTTTTATACACAAAATTTAGCTCAAACCTTAAAAAATATAACACAACTAAGAGATATCCAGTTTTATGCAACAATAGTAGAAAGAAGAAACAAATGGAACTTAAAATTACCACAAGACTTAGTTAGCAAACTTTCTAAGTCAACAATATAACAAAAGTACCCATAGAAAAACATCATTCAGATTAATGTTATCCAAACACAACAATGAGTAGTCTTCTCAAAAGTGGCTACCTTCAAGCCATTACTAATTCTCATCCTTAGATTATGCAAAAACCCATGCCAACCATTAACATTTTGTAACTGCAGCTTTCTTACCCACTTCAAACAATTTGAACCAAAATGTCGTAAAAGATGAAAAAACTCAAAATGATGATTTGCAATCCTGCATCTTTTACTGATTAACGCTCATAACTAAAACTTTTCGACAATTCGTCACTCCAAAAAACAACATTTCCTTTTTCTTTTCAATCTTTGAATTTATCCATATCTACTTTAGATGACAACTTGCAAACTTTTTTTTTCTCTAGTACATAATGTAGCACAAACATAAATTGCAAGAAGAAAGTTAAAGCAACAGTATGTGCCACTTGAATCATATCTCAAACTAATCAAATATTCATCCAATCCACTAGAGAGTCGATCAGGGATTCTCGCTTGGCCATTTCTAAGGTTACTTTTCCCTTGGCCCTTATAAAACTTCTTCAATCTTTAAACCAACAATGTATCGAATTAACATCTGATTCAAACTAATTGTGAAATAGGAAACAAATTGAATAGGACAGAGAACAAAAATACAAGTGGCTATATCTATAGTTAGCGAAGTAAAGTAGGCGGCTTTCTCATTCAATTCACAATTTCCCCAAAATACAAGTGGAGGAGTAGTTAATAACTATATGAAGAATAATTCTGTTGTGATCCACACCCATTCATATCTTTCACCGACTGTTACTCTCTGTCTCACTCTCCTGATTCTCTTTTTCCTTTCTCCAGATTCTCTAATAAGGACATATTATTCACATCCTTAATATCCAAATCCCAAATGCCCAGCATAATGAATCAACAAAATACTGAAATTCCAGTCACAGATCAACTTTAGCATAACGAATCAGCAACAATAGCCTTCAGATTGTAAAAATTACCAGATTTAGCTTCAGTTCACCCGCGTGTTAATTACTTGATTGTCTTGAAATTTGAAGAAACTGGTGGTGTTGCTGTGGTGAGGCTAGAGATTGAAGGATAAGATGACTATCAGAAATCATGATTAGGAAACGATCGATGAATTTCAAGAGATGGCGGTGGAGGTTTTTAGCTTTAAGTTATCGGCCGCTGAAGAAGAAAGGAAGAAAATCTACGAGAAGAGAAGCAGAGTAGCGGCTGACCCAAGTTTTGTCAATTTGTTCAATTTTTTTAGTCATTTTTTAGCTTTTTTGGTTGGTTAGTCAACTGTCAAATTGTCAAACTTTGACTGAAAAAAGGCCAAAAAAGAAAAAAAAAATTGAGGTTAATCAAAATTTTCGGTTTCACCGGTCAAACTCGGTCTATGACAGGGTTTGACCGATTTTATAACATTCGAGTTTTTTAACTAACTTGGACCGGATGCCTGGCCAGTTCCTGATTAGATCGACCGGTCCGGTTTTGAGTCTGAAAACACAGAAAAGTTGTACTTGCTTGTAAATAGTATTTTGACAAGTGTTTAACGATCATTTGTAAGTATTGTAGGATACTATAGTAGCAATGATGGCACCCATATTCTAGTGTGTCCCCTACCGGGACAACAAATGGCCTGCATTAATCGACATGGTACTTAGTCGCAAAATCTTTTAGCTGTTTGTGACTTCGACATTCACTTCACACACACACACACATATATGTTGGTAGAAGGAAAGTGTACACGATGCACAAGTGTTAGAGGATGCTCTATTGTACCCATCTGATTTTCTAATGCTACTCGGAGGTGGTATGTTATCTTTAACTCATTATTTTATATAATCCTAATTTGATGGTAAAGATTTAGAGTATTATCACCAGCCAAGCCGTCTACGTTTTAAGCAAGTAGTATCTTGTCGATACTACATACAAGAATGTTTCCAAATTTTCTATCTCCATACAAGAATGTAGGCTGAGCGGGCTTGAAAAGAAGTTATTTAATATGCGTTACTCAGAGTTTAGAAATGTCATTGAATGAACCTATGGAGTATTGAAGAAGAGATTTGCGTTCTTAAGGGGACCAATTCCCAATTTTTACATGATCATTTAAGTAAGTGTTGTTATAACTTGTCGTGCATTACACAACTTTATTAGGCTGAACCAATCGGCCAACTCCCACTTTCATTTCTATGAGCAAGAGAATGTTGGATTGGAGCATGATATGGAGGTGCCACAATGCCAAATGCTTCTTGAGCTGAGGTTGCAACATGGAAAGCAAGGTAGGACTCGTTGGTTTGAGAGAGCAGATAGACGCAACTTTGACAATTAGCTTTCCTGTTTCTGCCACTGTTCAAAGCTATTCTGTATTGGAATATTATAATGAGTTGGTTTGAATGCTCTCCTACTGGTCCAATTTTACCATTGTTACTATTAACAGTCTTTTAGGTCAATAGACAAATACTAAAATTACTGACATACGAAGTCACACAATACTTAACTTCTTAGAAAGAAGAGTAACTAATACGTCCGAAGTCCAAAAGATATGCTCAAGTGCACTGTTGTCTTCACCATCAAAAGGTTCAATTCCTAACAAAGGGCCTAAGAATTGATGGCAGGATCCTTTTCTTATCCATTATCCCTTGTTATGAGGGGGTTCCACCAAAAAGCAAAATCAGCAATCTAAGGCAGGAATTAGTCCACTAGGTTCTTATACTAGTTAATTTTTCATTTTGTGTCAGCAGTCACTTTTATTTTCTTATTATGAGAAGAAAGAGAAACGAAGTGATTAGTTGATTGTTATGGTAATGGTGGTCAGTCTTAAAAAAATTATGAAATGTGTCAAGAAGCAACGAATTCATCTTTTTCTCCTGCTTTTCACCATCAAATAGGTGCAACTCTATTAAACAGCACAAGTTACCTAGTTGAACATTCAAAGAAACTTTTCTTTCATTGGGTGATCAGTATAGCACTTTAACACATAAAATAGTTCTTATATTCATCCTAATCTTATGCATTAGTAGGTCACATAATGCCCCTATGGCCACAGACCAATTGTTTCTTTTTGAAGCTCACCTCAGTACTCAGTTTCCCATAAATGGATTAAATGGTCTTGGAGCTTAAACCTTCCAAGTATTGCTGTGTTTTGCTGCTAATTTTGTTTACTGGAATTGATTGAAATTTCGTTGACAATTTGGTTTGTTTACTGGATAGTTTGGAGAGCTCTAAGTTGGAAAATATATGTGACTAAAATTTGAAAATTAGAAGGCTTGCAGAAATTAGGGAAGAAGCAGAAGAGGGAGGAGACAGGAGAGGGGAGAACCTGGGCTTCACACCTAACAGAAAAAGAAAGTCTCCTGAAAACTTTCTTCTGGAGATTCCCATCTTCCTAAAGCTATTACCACAGATATTTATAGAGGAAAGACATCTTAGGAATTTAGCAAATGACAATTACCTAACAATGGTTATCTATTCCGCTTTTTGTCAATTTCTCCAGCATTAAATTCGTTGCTTGTATTTGTTTTTATTTGAATAAATAATGCTGACCTCCCCTCTAGTTTCTACAGAAGACATAAGACAGCCTCTCCAGATTGTGAAATAACAAGGACTTTCCCTGCATATGTTTTGCATCCAACATTATTGATGTAAAATATATTAAGACAAGTTTACCTTCACCATGTTCACATCTTCTTCCCATGTTGCCAGAAACCCAATAAAGAAAAATAGGTGCTGATCGTCAAATTAGATACAATAAATTTTTATTTGTTTTTTCAATTCCATAAAGGTGGCAAATTATGTTATAGTGTCAAAAGAAGAACAAATGCAGTTATACTTCCATCAAATAAGGAAACACCACAGATTTCTCTATTCTATGTGAATAGCACTTCGGAAAAACCCCTGTAGCTGGTTGTAGAACAAGCTGGACAAACTGAAAATAAATGAAAATATCAAAAATTGAAATGTGAGTTATGCTGATTATTGAAGTTTGTATATAGTTCACAACAATAGCTTGACGTTCGAATGTTGCATCAACCTTAAGATTCCTTCAGATTAATTACATCTAAAGCAAATTGAATTGAGATGTTTGAATTTGGTTTTTATTGGGTGGAGTAGTGGCAGACGGTTAGAGTTGAGAATGGGATTGGCATGTGTGTTATGGAGGCTGGGGTTGTGCTATTATATCACTTGTCTAAAAATAAAATTTTGCAATAAACATTAAAATTGTAAATTTAAAGGCATTTTTTTTGGAAAATTTTTTGTATATGTGACTACAGTTGTTATATGCCGTTCATTTGTTAACCATATTGGACGTTTTTTATTTATGTGACAAATAAGAGTGGAGGTCCCTGTTATTTTCTCAATCTAGAGGAGAGGCCTCTGCCTTTTCTAAAACAAGAGGGGAGGTTAGTGTAATTTACTGTTTCTATCATTGCGGAGTTGTGTTTTCCTTTCAATGTTCAACATCTTGTTCTCATGGGTGACTGGCTTTTGACTATATAAGCTTAACAGCTTGTTTTGTTAAATTTCAATACGTGAGTATATTGGACTCACTGACTTTGAGATTCATGAACTGTAAAAAACCTTTTTGAAACAGAAAACAGTTTATTGTGTGAATTTTTTAGGATTACAAGATTGCTGAAAGGATAGAGAGAGAAGGGAAGGGTTGCCTGATTGTTGTGAACAAGTGGGACACAATTCCGAACAAAAATCAGCAAACTGCAACTTATTATGAGCAAGATGTAAGAGATAAGCTCCGTCTTCTCAGCTGGGCACCTATCGTGTACTGTACTGCAATAGCTGGGCATAGCGTTGACAAGTATGATCTTGAGCTATCTTGATGAGAGTTTCTTGACTCCTGTATATCTTTGGGAACTTTATGAGCAAGTTTGGATTAAAGTTACAGAATTATCACTTGATAAATAGTTGAAAGCTTGGAACTTGGAAAATACTTGTGCTATTCAATGTTATTAAAATCGGATGTATGTAGATTGGTTTTATAAAGGTAAACTGAATTATCATTATTTTTCACTGGACTCTATGTCTGGTTCTAAACAACTTCATGATTAGCAAATGATTTAACTGGAATAATGACAATCTGCCACATACGAGGACTCTTACAGATCTTGCACCTGTGCTGGTTTGTCATATTTGTCTCTGAATTTTAGAGTATGTCTCTATTGATACGTGTTGAGGTGAATGAGATGAAATCAAAAAAGATTTGGAACCTGAGGTGTATATGAATTTCTTTGCAGACTACAGTTTGTAGAGCATTACAAGATGCGCTTGTTTGTGCTTGCTGAGTACTATAATCTGCTTTTGAATTATTAAAATTGCTCCACAAGCTTCCCGGGCTTGATTGTGGCATTCTGATTTGATATCCTGTTTGAGGGACAAGAGTTTGTTTTGTTCTTCAATTTTGCTTTCTATTGGAGGGTATTTTTAGTGAAGTCAGTTCATTCAACCAATTCGATTGCTCCTTTCTCATCCATCTTGAATATTTCATCTTTCTTTCTTTCCTTTTAACTGCTGAAGAGCTTTTTAGGTAGTTCGATAATAGTAATTAAATGAGATAATCAATAATTTGACTTATTTATTTACTGTTAAAATTTTGTTACATGTAAGGACACAAAAGTGAACCTCTGAAGGGAACTGCACGGAAAAAAGTACTAATCGACTAAACTGTTTTCCATCTTTTTAAAAATTTGATTAGTTTCTGCATCTAAATGGTTGGACTTGTTTCAGAATCATTGATGCTGCTGGTATGGTTGAGAAAGAGCGAAAGAGAAGGTTAACTACAGCAACACTAAATCAATTGGTGCAGGAAGCAGTTGTTTTCAAACCACCTCCAAGGACTAGAGGTGGCAAGAGAGGACGTGTTTATTATTGCACACAGGTACTTGCACCAAAACAGATTTTATAAGTTGGTTTTCTCAAACTGTCATTTCTGAATCTAAATGTGTTAATGTCTAGCTTTGCTAGAAGTTTGAAGTCTCTAAACTCTGAAGTTCATCAGGAATTCCATATGGAAAAAGGGAAAGATTTGGACTTGAGTTATAGAATGTTTGGAATTGCAGTTGAATCATTTTGTATCCTTTGTTTCAGGGGTTTAACTTGGCATAGATAAGGTTTATTTGACACGACAAAGTACATCAGAATGTTTTAAGACAGTAGAATTGCTTAAGTTTTTTATGTAACATGGCTAGAGAAAGACTCTACTGCAAGGGATTCATCATATGATTTGGTATATTTCATTAGCCTTTATTGTGTTGGACGCATTAATGAAGCGGAAAATGCATGTGATTTGTTAAGGCCGCCTAGAAATTCACCAGTAATTTGAAGCAAAACAATTTGACCAATTTTATTTGCATTAACCCAATCTATCAAACTTATGTAGCCATGTTGATCTTATTCACAGGCAGCAGTTAGACCACCTACATTTGTCTTCTTTGTAAATGATGCAAAGCTATTTCCGGAGACATATCGCCGTTACATGGAAAAGCAGCTGAGATCAAGTGCAGGATTTTCAGGCACTCCAGTTCGGCTTTTATGGAGAAGCAGAAGAAAAATGGAAAAAGATGATAGTAAGGATACATATATCTGGTTATTTATTTATTTTTCTGTCTCATGAATTTTCTGTGTCCCATATATAAAATACATACATATATATATATATATTTTGCATTTCAAGATACACTTGACAGATTGCTTATTTTGGTTTAACCTGGGAAGGAGGTTGAAAGGAATATTAGATTTCAAGCAAGAATGTCCTATTCTCTTTATGCCTGGGGTGGTCTGGAGGGAAGTGTTTGACATGATATTAAAATGGAAGTATATCTTTTCTTAGCGCATTCCATTAGCTGATTTTTGGCTTGAAGGAAATGGAATGCCCAAAAAATTAACAAATGAATAAAATAAAATAAAATGAGAACGGGGGCTTGGGAACATGTTCTGCACAGGCATGCTGTTTGAAACACCTGTCGTGGTTTGTTTTTATGATTTGCTTCCTGAGGTCACAGATGCCCACCTCTTTGTATTTTGGACTTCAGACAGTTAGCAGACTGAATTGACTAAATTCATTTTTTTTCCAGGGAGGTCTGCTGCAACAAATTTTGCCCAAGAGAATTACATTTCTGTTGATAGAAGGTTGGCTGTAGCTTAGCTGAACTTGCATTAGCTGTAATTTGGAAAGAACAGAATTATATCTTAGTTTTGACTGGATTCACACTTAGCATAGGAGATCCAGTAAAAAAGAGTCCTACTTTAGAAGTTTCAACACGTAAAAAGAGTCTGTTGTACTGAATTGTGTTGTTTAATTTAGTTGTCACTAGTCTACAATCTTGAACTCTCTGGTGAAGAGATGTAGAGGACCTGATTTTGATTACAAGCTGGACGAGGAGTTGAGGACATTCTGCTATGTGTCGACTTTTGCAGGGATACATGTTCAAATGTATTTATGAAGCCCTACCATGTGAAGATGATTCAAGATCTCTATGTTTTTTTCAGCAAATTATACTATTCTTTTGTTTATTTCTCAAGTGGTTCTCATTTAATTCGGATGGCATATGGGTTTTTCATATAAAATGTAGATTTGTGTCTTGCTTGTTGAATTTGGAATCGATCTAGTTTGATTGGGTTAGGCCTTCAAGCCTGATAAATTTTTTTGGGTGAGAGTCAATTTAGGTAACTTTCAGCTTGCATCATGTAAAGGAGTAGAGCAACCTACAATTAAGTAATTGGTTCTGTTCTGATTTATTAGCTCTGCCCATCCATCATCAGTGTTTCGGGGAGCCAATGTTTTTCCATCAAATGGGGAGTCCGGTTGTACTGTGTCCGAGAAAGCTCAACCCGCGAGGCTGGAGGCTTCATCTGGGCTCCGGATATTTATGAGCTTTCTTGCCCTCTATGCTATTATGCAACTAAATGATCATTTGGGAATGTAGTTTTCCCACTAACAAAAGAAAAAGAAAGAACCAAAATTCAGCTTTAACTAACAAATGCATTTGAGTCAGTTATAGCCAATTGAGCTTGAAACTTAAAAGAAGTAAACCTGAAATGTAAGAGAGCAGTAACGGGTCTGAATGTACTTCTACACGAAAGCAAAAGCATCACATTTCAAATAGGTTTATAAGCTCCATCAAATATCAGGGGGAAAAAGAGAGAAAAAAAAATCACCCCTAAAGGCCGAAAGTTGATGTAATGTTGCTAGAGCTGTTAATCGGGCCGAATATTTGGTTGCCGAGCATAACTCGAGCCAAGCTCGAGCTCGCTCAACTAGGTTGACAAGCTTTGAAATATGTTCGGACTCGACTCGCCAAATGGACATGTGGCTCGAGCTCGAGCTCGTGCAAATTAACTCCAATAAAAACTTATAATTTTCAATTTTTATACTTTTGAATTATAAAATGACATATATAACCTTCCTTATCGAGCCTAATCGAGCTACTCGGATAACAAATGAGTAGAGGTTATTCGGCTTGTTAATTAAACGAGCAGAGCTCGAGCTCGACTCGTTTACCACAATTAACGAGGCGAGCTTGAGCCTTATCGAGTCGAGTTCAATCGAGTTTTCGAGCTGCTCGTTTCATTTAACAGCTTTAAATGTAAATGCTGCTGATGTTCTCTCTCTTTTCCGTGGTCTGTATGATTAGGTTGGGGGTCACTTGATTGACAAAATTTTGATTATAGGATGCAAAGTTTGATAATTTGATGAGTTTTAACTATTTTGTGGATTTTTGAGGTATTAATTTCGTAAAGAACTACTCTTTGGAGCTTTATTTTGCTAGGAGTTTGTTGTTAATGATTTCTCCTTTTGGTTGAATGGATAGATTGTAGGGCCATATTCACTGGTTCCATGCAGATTTTGTTAGTCTATGCAATGATCAAAGTGACTTTTGTGTTAGTTGCTTGCTTAACGAGCTTATGACCGGTTGAGCATATACTGTTAACATGACCAAAAGCTGAGGAAGTATGGAAATTTTCACCCATTAGATGAGATGGGATGGCCTTTATGAAAAAAGATGGAATCTGTTGGAATGGTGGGAAGGTGTGATGTGTGCCAGACATAGAAAAGGAACTGAACATATTGCACTAACAGTGAACATTATGTGGGCAATCTGGAAGGAAAGAAATAGTTGTCAATTCAATAATGACAGAGGACCTTTTATGGTTACTGTTCAGATAGCTTGGAAAGAGAGGGGTGAGTTTGACAGATTGGTAATTAAAAAATGAAATTCAAAACACAGATGCAAGGAGAATGGAAGGGAGCAGGCAAGAGGGAGAGGGAGTAAGTGTGGACAGGGATACGGTACTCATTTCTTGCTTGAAATCTAATATTCTTCATTACCCCTTCCTAGGTTAAACCAAAATAAGCAATCTGTCAAATAATCTTGAACTGCACAACAGAAAAACACAGCAGAAAAGGAATCTTGCAAAAAATTCATGAGACAGAGAAACAAACAAATAAATAGTTTGACAGATATTTATATATATATATATATATATATTTAGACACACACACACTCACTATCATCGTTTTCCATTTTTCTTCTGCTTCTCCATAAATGCCGAACAGGAGTGCTTGCAAATCCTACACTTGATCTCAGTTGCTTTTCCATGTAACTGTGGTATGCCTCTGGAAATGGCTTTGCATCATTTACAAAGAAGACAAATGTAGGTGTTCTAACTGCTGCCTCTGGGTATAAGATCAACGTACATGGTCACATAAGTTTGATAGATGTGGTGACTGTGAACTAAAATTGGTCAAATTGTGTAGCTCCAAAGTCCTGGCGAACATGTAGGAAGCCTTAACAAATCACATGCATTTTCTGCTTCGTTTATGGGCCCATCACAATAAAGGCTAACGAAATATGACATATGACAAATCCCTTGCAATTCTCTAGCCATGTTTCATAAAAAACTTGAGCAATTCTACTGTCTCAAAACATTTCGATGCACTTTGTCATGTCAAAGAAACCTTATCTATGCCAAACATGGTTCAAAGAATCGGCCGAGACCAAGACGACTCGGCCGAGTCGTTACCGGATCAGGGCTTTTCGGTCCGATACCGAGACGAGATGATTCCGAAATAATGAATCGCCGAAAACTCGGTCGAGACGTCTCCCAAATTGATAGAAATGGCCGAGTCGCCCCGAATCATTCCGAATCAACTTGAATTTTTATTATTTTTGCTAATTTTTTATTATTTTTATTTATCATATATTTTTACAATTATTTAAAATATTAAATATTTCAAAAATTTGCGTCTCAACGAGACCACGACCGATATGCCGACACCAATGTGGAACAATCTGGGCCACGACCACGATTTTGAACCATGATGCCAAGTCAAACCCCTGAAACAAAGCATGCAAAATGATTCAACTGCAATTCCAAACATTCTATAACTGGAATGTCCAAATCTTATCCTTTTTCCGTCCGAAATTCCTGATGAATTTCGGAGTTTAGAGACTTACAATAGCTGCATCAAACTGACTGAATAGTGGCATATGCAAACTTCTAGAAAAGCTAAACATCAGCACATTTAGATTGAAAAATGACAGTTTGAGAAAACCAACTTATAAAATCTTTTTCTGGTGCAAGTACCTGCGTGCAATAATAAACACGTCCTCTCTTGCCACCTCTAGTCCTTGGAGGTGGTTTGAAAGCAAGTGCTTCCTGCACCAGCTGATTTATTGCCGTGGTTAACCTTCTCTTTCGCTCTTTCTCAACCATACCAGCAGCAGCAATGATTCTGGAACAAGTCCAACCATTTAGATGTAGAAATTAATCAAATTTTTAAAAAGATGAAAAACAGTTTAGTCGATTAGTGTATATTTTTCCTTCCCCCGTGCCAACTTTTTTCTATGCAGTTCCCTGCAGCGGTTTGACTTTTGTGTCTTTCCGTGTAACAATTTTAACAGTGAATAAATAAGTCAAAGTATTGCTCATCCCACTTCATTGCATTTAGCGAACTACCTGAAAAGCTCTTCAGCAGTTAAAAAGAAAGAGAGAGAGATGAAATATATCGATGAGAGATGAGCAATTGAATTGGTTGAATTAACTGACTTCACTATAAAATACTCTTCAATAGAGCAAAATTGAAAAACAAAACAAACTCATTGCCCCTCACTTAAACAGGATATCAAATCAGAATGCGCCAATCATGACCGAGAAGCATGTGGAGCAATTTTAATAATTCAAAAGCAGTTTATAGTGCTCAGCAAACACAAACAAATTCACCTTGTAATGCTATACAAACTGTAGTCTGCAAAGAAACCCATATAAACCTCGGGTTCCAAAATTTTTTTTTATAGTTCATTTGATTCGCCTTAACACAAATCAATAGTGACATATTCTAAATTTCTTAGACAAATATAACACACAAGCACCGGTCTAAAATCTGTAAGAGTCCTCTTATGTGGCATCTCATTCAGTACCTCAACACAAATCAATAGGGACATACTCTAAATTTCCTTGACAAATATGACACACCGGTGTAAAATCTGTAAGTCCTCTTATGTGGCAGATTGTTATGATTCCAGTTAAATCATTAGCTAAGCATGAAGTAGTTTGGATTTTGATGTCTTCTGTTTGAAAAAAATATTACAGTATTCTTTATTTGGCACTAAATGGATTCCAATTCTTTTTAGTTTGATCGAGAAAATGCAACCATTAATAGCAATTATTTGGATAAAAAAGTGCAAGAAGCTGCTTTCCCATCTAATGCTAATCATCTAGTAAGTGAACTAAAGCATCATACTGGTTTTCTAAAAGCAAAATATCACGACTTGGGTCAAAGGGTTAGTCTAAGCAATTTTTGGACTGAAATCCACTAATCTAAAATGGTTAACCCAAGTTATTTAAACCCAAGCTTATAAGCCATTCCTTTTCTCTTTCCTCTATTCATTTCCAATCCACTTGGCTGTGCTTTGAACTCTGGAGGTGGCCCCCGTATGTGGCACGCAGTTTCTGACACTTCATTACATAGTCAAAACCACAATCCGTTGGCTCTGACACTCCATTATGTAGTCAAAATCACAATCGGTTGGCTCGGACTTCTCGTTGATCCAGACTCACCCTACGCAAAAACCATGTGAGGTTCGCTCTGCATGACACGTAGTACTGGTCCAAAATGGTTATTCCAAGTCACTCAATAGCCAAAGGAGCCAAACTTATAAGCCATTCCTTTCCTCTTTCCACTTCCGATGTGGGATGCCTCACAAAATATTGATTGCTCTTGGATAAATAGCAAAATTGGGATTTAAATTGTTAATCATGATAATTATAAAATGTTGTTGGTTTTAATGATGAAGTACAATGAAGTTGGCAAATATTTGTAGAGCACAATGATGGGGTGATTTTAGGTTTGCAATTGGCTTTATATTTTAGTATTAATTATACCTTTATTGAATGAGTTTTGTTTATGCCAAGAAGAGATTAAAAATATTGGTCAAATATTTGTACTCTAGGTCATTGAATTCATTATGCATTGTTGTGTGAATTGCTCGATATTGTTGATCAAATCCTTTTGTGTGCCACATAAAATATTGTCAATCGCATATGTTATCCAACTTGAGATTGGCTGCTAGGTCTATATTGTTCTTAGGAG